AGCGCATGATAAGTTTACAAAACGCTTTGTCAGCTCGGACTTGGTGTGTTTTTTCTGAGCGGAGCTCGCATAGCTCTAGTATTGGACACCTTTTCCGCTCAAGTAATTAGCAATTTATGCAGCTTTGGTTCCAGCTATTTGTTAACAAAATGGCCATCCTTGGGTCGTAAAAGTTATCACCTTTTCGCTGGCCACTCTGGCCTCTGGCCGGAAAAGTATGCTCTGGCAAATTGGTATGCAGACACCAAGTGACTCTCAGCTAAGCATAATGAATTGTTACCTAAGCATGATTTATCTGTGCGCAGTATATAAATCTCCCGTAGAGTAAATGAAAAGACAACGACTATGTTGCACCCTGGAAAAACATTGTTAGCTGAATAGAAAGATATGCAAAGGTGAATAACTCAAGTGAATGAACAAGTAAATTCAAAGATTCCAATTCCAATTAAGTGATATGCGAAACGAACTGAAGACACAGGAATAAAATAACGTGCAAATATACCGGCCAAATTAAAACACCTGCCACAGAATTACTGCAAATATCTTCCTCATAATTACGTGCATTTTACAAGCTTTTGCTGACCACAATCGACACTTTGACCTTTCGGCCACAATATGCGCTCGTTAGTCAATGTTCAGCAATTTGCTGTGAATCAATAATAAATGTAAATAACATAACGTGCACAACTGTCGGTTCCCTTGGCAGTGTGGGCCATGCTGTTGCTCTTACGGTCAGGATTGATAATGATGCTGATGTTGATGTTGATGGTGATGATGATGCCATCAACACTGCTGAAGTAATCGAAAATAGGAATTGTTGCAAGTGAAATATGGCAAACTGTGGCTGGACACGCGCCCGTTCAATATAATTTAACGCCACATCATGGCAGCTGCTCTGTTCGGACAAGACCACGGCGCCAATTGGCCTAAAATCAATGGGCCACGTAAGCCGGAGCTCCGCTTTTGGCACTATCCGAGTCATCAAGCCTCACACGAGTGGTTGGAATTTATTTTTTGTGCCTTTTGACTGATGGCCCTCTGCCATGTTACAATTATTTTGCTGTCTGCAAATTAAACTAAGACACGAAATTTAAATCACACGTTTTTCTTCACTTCACCTTTGCTTGAGAACCCAACGGAAGCTGTTTCGCTTAGCTAGCTGTTCTTTTTGTTACTCGAAACTTATTTATTTGGTGTTTCGCGCTGCTAATTAGTTCATTTGTTGCCTTACAAAGTTTTGCTCCGTTTCTATACTATGCTGCCCTAAAGGGTAAAAGCTCAAATTGTGGCGCAGAGAAGTTTCGGCGGGTATATTATCCCAAGCCAACACTTTAACAGTTCCCCAGTTCATGGATATGCAACATACACGAATGCTGTTGGCAGTGGAAGTTTCAAGAGCATTTCCGAACTACTTTATTAAGTCCGATTAAATCCGATTAAATAAATTATATTTAATTTCAAGCATTGCATAATTATTTACGAAATTTACTTGAAAAGGGTGCCATATAATATTTGCATTAAATTAATATTCAAATTAATATTCTACAGTCCAAGCAGTAAACAAAGACGCAAACTTCGTGAAAATCGGAAATCGGATTTTGACCAAGCTATGGGGGTGGGAACCACCAAGAACGATTCTACGATTAATGAAGAAAAGAAGTTTAATCATCTGAAGTCTACTGGAGTATGACGTTAACCGCATGCGAGGATCCCAGTGTAAGCCACGAATGGCAAACAACAAGAAAATGTCAAAAAATATCACAACAAATAAATTTGCATAAACAAAAGCTGACCTTAAAACAACTTGAATGGAAATTGTAATTTCACGTATACCAAAAATTGCATTTTTTTTATTCAGCAGAAACCAATATCATATCATATTTCAACATCATATTTCATTGATCAGATCTTTCGTTTGGATTTCAGTATTTGTACAGAAAACATCAATTTCCCAGAATTTTTTAGGCATCACTCGCAAAAATGTTTCCAGGTTCAATTATTCATTCGTAGACTCAAAGCACATCAATATTTCCCGCAGGGCTGAGCTTGACTTTCACTTTGCTGCAATTGGACATCTAACCAAACTGCCAACTAAATTGCACCAAAATACAACACAGCAAGCCACACTGCGGCGTCCCATTGGCTCGCTTTGTAATTTTCTCGTCTAATTCAATCTACTTCATATATTTATTTGTTACACAATTCGACGCGCGGTCTACAAAAATCTTTGCAATTGCCAAACGCACAATAAATTATAATACAATTCCTCCGCAAGTTTTCCCCAATTGCCAAAAGAAAGAGAAATGAAAATAAATAATATGGGAAACCAAAGTTCTTGTAACTAACTGAAATAATCTAAATACAAATCTAATTTCTTCAGCTGGCTTTGAGTGAGCCCACAAATTGGACTGTCGACTGCTGCCAAAGTCTTTTGCTGAACAATAAAAACTTAAATATTGCTTACACATAAGTAATTTATACGAATTGCTTGCGGTCACTCGATTAAGTGCTTAATTAGTAAGAAAATGTAATTTACCTCTCAAGTACTTAAAACAGCATTTGCAAGACGTTGGCCAAATCTTAAATCAAATTAATTATTTTCAGCATCGTTTGCGCTTCTTAAATGAGAGGAAACTACACAAAGTTGAGTTAGCATATCAATTAGCTGAAATTGAATATTTGTAAACTTGGAAGTCAAGCATTAAAGAGAATTTAACTTTTAGCCCCCACACAAAATTAATTGAGCCAAAATAACGAGGTTAGGATTAAACCTAATTCGATCAATTGTTAGCACATCAGGAGACTTAAACTGCAAAACTTTTAATAAATTGAGAACATGAACAAAGTTGAACACAAGTCAACCTGTTTACAAACAAATCCGAAAAATCAAATTAGCTTCTCGCCTCTGCTGCTCGTTGAGAAAACAACCATAAATCAAAATCTTAAAGTCGCATACTTAAAGCATAGCAATCCGCTTAAAAAGAAGGAGGAAAAAATCAAACCAATTGCTTTAAGTAACATGCTTTTAGTAACACCAACTATAACCTCAACCCTTACCCTTGAAAGCCAAGTTAAGCATTTGTGCTTTGCATTCGATTGGTCCCGCTGTGAATTTAATGTGCCACACTTCATTGCAGTTCGGGTAAAACGCAGCATTACGATTTTTATGTCTATTCGAAAATGGCTCTGGCGTATTAGAGGCATAAAACAGGCATAGGCATTAGCCCAAATCCTTTAAGTACCAATACACACACCCACACATAAACACACACCCACACACACACAACGACGACACACTCTTTTGGGCGCGAAGCTGTTTTATTAACGTGCACGTGCAGGGACCAGAACCAGGACGCGAACAAGCAACGAAAATACCAGCAGGACCTCCTCGAGTTTCCGGCGGTGCTGGCCATCAAAATCAACGTTTAATGTCCGTCTAATCGCTTTCGCATAAATTTGCGCGCGATTTTGCAATAAAGCTGAAAACCCAGTTTGCATGCTGCCTGTCTGTTGGTCCCACCCGCTGTGGTGCCTAGGGGGTATATTGGCTCTGAATTTGATGTTAGTTTCATGGGCTTTACGCATGATTTGAGTTACCACTGGCCAAATTTAATTAAACCAAATGCCAAAAGCCAACACAATCAAGGCAGCAGCAGCAACAACAAGAGCAAAAACCAATGGATATCCAACCTTTTGCACGCGAGCGAGAGTTGCTGACATTCCAATTAGAAAAGCAAATAAAGCAGACTTTAATTGAAAAATTGTCATCAGTGCCCAGCTCCATTCCAATAGTACACAAGAAAACAACAAAAGGTCAAAATGGTGAGAAATCTTTGTGTAACTGGATTGGATTGCACAATTCATTAGCTTATATTCAAGGCATATGAATATTCGGTTAGAGCACACCCATCGAATCCCCTCGCATATCAATTACTCAATTGTTCTAATCAAATTTGCGTAAAAAATAAGTATACAATAAGGAAGCTGCATACAATTTAAATACCAAGAAACTCTAATTACATGTCATAAGAGAACATACCAAGCTTATTCTGATCTCATCACAAACAGATTTCATGAAAAAATTATCAAATGGCACGAGTAGACAACTTATTAGACCACCAAGAAGTCTGCTGGGATAATTTTCCACTTGTAGAGGGTATTATAATTTTGTCATGGAATTCGTAACTCATAGATAAAGACAGCCCAAGAAGTATGTATATTCCTTATCAGTATCAAAAGCTGCGGCAATGTGATATAGTTTCTTAGTGGTATCGTCATGCAAATTTCCAAAGGTCTTCCTGTTGTGAGCACAACATATATCATATAGCTGCCATAGGAACGATGCGTTAAATATAAGCATCTTGTTTTAACAACATTTTTGTTTCTGTAGTTATCACGACAAAACTGCTAATTTTTAAGTTTCACCTGCCAGACCTGCCTTTCCTTTTTGTTTATTTTTTCCCACGTACTATCTTATCTTAAACTGGTTTCATAGTTGTACTGCTGCCGCAATTACGCACTGAATACTTGAAATGGTTGCTTCCAGTAAAACAGCTATATATTATTGATAGATAGTATTTTGTGTTTGTCATTGTGAGCATGAGTCAAAAGTAGAGAGATGAGAATAAATACAACATATTTTTGATTGGCAACAGCCAAACAGATCCTAACGTAACCGTCGATCTATAAGATCCCACACTAGTTGGATGGAAAGTATTTTGCCAAGGAAAGATCAAGATAAATTAAATATTGCAATTTATATTTAAACGTATTTAAGCAAACGGATCTGTTAGAGTTGTACTGCACTTGTGACTTATTTCTCGGGATACTCAATTTTTAAACAGTTCTTACTCTAGTTCAAAATTTACCACATCTGAGAGAGTCATAGATCGCTTTGATATCTCCGAAAGCTTTTCTGTCAGTGCTGTTGGCAGAATATAAATAAAAAGCCGGTAAAGCTCGCCAGATACTTAGTTCCCCATTGACACTTGCCGAGGTAACTCTATACGATTTCCGTCATGGTGCTGCTTACGCTCGCCCTGCTGGGCGTGACACTGGCGATATTTTACAACTTCTACCTGAATGTGTATAACTACTGGGATCGTCGGGGCGTACCCTACGAGCGGCCCCTGCCAATATTGGGCAACATGAGAGGTATCGGAACAAGGTTGCATTTCCGCGACGTCAATCAGAGACTATACGATCGCTTTAAGGGCAAGACACCGATCATCGGCATGTTCATGTTCTTCAAGAGAGTCGCTATGATTGTCGACCTGGATCTGATCAAACAGGTGCTGATCAAGGACTTCAACACCTTTCAGGATCGTGGCGTTTTCAGCAATGTGCGCGATGAGCCGCTAACGGGACACCTATTCACGCTAGAGGGCGATGAATGGCGTTCCATGAGACACAAATTGACGCCCGTCTTTACCTCCGGCAAAATGAAGCACATGTTCGGCGTAGTCGTCGAGGTGGGTCATCAGCTGGCCGACACCATGGATAAAGCCGTAACTGCTGCTCGCGCCGACGGTGGCGATGTTGAGATCAAAGAGTTTTGTGCTCGCTTCACCACAGACGTCATTGGCACTTGCGCCTTTGGCCTCGAGTGTAGCAGCCTGGCCGATCCGCATGCCGAATTCCGTGCCAAGGGTCGCATGCTATTCGAAAAGCCCCGTCACCACCAGCTGGTGCAGGCCTTCATATTCACCAACTCAAAACTATCAAGGAAACTGCACATGAAGGTGTTTCCCGATGATCTATCCAATTTCTTCATGGAGGCTGTGCGGACGACAGTCGATCATCGACTCAAGCACGGCATAAAGCGCAATGATTTCCTCGATCAGCTGATTGAGCTACGCGCTGAGAACGAGGAGGCGGCACGTCGTGGGAATGGCATCGATCTCTCTCAAGGCCTCACCATTGAGCAAATGGCCGCCCAGGCTTTTGTTTTCTTCATAGCCGGCTTTGAGACCTCCTCCAGCACAATGGCTTTCTGTCTATACGAACTGGCACTGCAGCCGGATGTGCAGCAGCGCCTCAGGGAGGAGATCGAAACGGTGATCAAGGAGACGGCAGATGGAGAGCTCACCTACGATGCCATTGGGCAGATGACCTATTTGGAGCAGGTGCTGGCAGGTAGGAAATGCAAATTCTCAATACAACTCTTACTCTAATAACCTCTCAACATTGCCAACAGAGACTCTGCGTAAGCATCCGATTCTGCCCCATTTAATGCGACAAACGAACCAGGATTACAAAGTGCCTGGCACAGACTTGGTCATTGAGCAGGACACATCTGTTATAATTCCTGTACATAGCATACACCACGACCCAGATATTTACCCCGACCCCGAGCGTTTTGATCCATCTCGCTTCGAGCCTGATGCCATTAAGGCGCGACACCAATTTGCATATCTACCATTTGGAGATGGACCCCGCAACTGCATCGGTGAGCGCTTCGGCAAAATGCAGGCCAAGATTGGCCTCATTTCCCTTCTGCGCCGCTTTAAATTTGGTGTATCTAATCGCACAGAGGTTCCGCTGATTCTTAATAACCGGAACTTTCCATTAGCCACCAAATATGGCATTCATCTTAAAGTAGAACGTGCTTGAGAAATCAATTATGGTGTATATACTGTACAGTAAAACTAAATTGTAATAACTTCTGTGCCGATGGAAAGACTTCATATATTTGTGTTATTGTAGCCTACAAATTAGCCGAGCTATATATTACTAACTTTGTTGTTGAGAATGCAAAAAATATATTAAGTAATCTAAATGATTAGAAAGAATAAATTACAAAGTACCTTTGGGGAGCCATAGATTTAACACACAACATAAAAGGTTGTAAGGGCAACTGAATGTAGAGATAACAGATAAGGGTAGGTAAGTGATATTTCTTAGTGAAAAGCCATATTGACTAATACTTTGTAAATTGTATAATAACCAAAAATCCAACCCAACAGACTAAAATTTAATAAAAAAATCCCCTGCATGAGAGAGAGCAGCCCTAATCTCCTTCATTGTTAATGTTATTCATCATCCCACCTGATTCCCACTCAATTTAAACTCAAGACCATTCCTTAATCTGAAGAAAATAAAAATATGTAAAATACTGCTTATCAAAAAACGTCTAAATGCCACACAAATACTCTTATCGTATTTTAAAATTTTAAAAATCTAATTAAATTTCAATATGGTGAGCTTTAAAAACAAACAGCACAACGGAGATGAGTACATGTTTATTTTTACGCTTTTATTTGAATATTCAAATCAAACGATTATTGCGCATTTTGGATGATATGTACATGCTCTTCATGCAAATTGACATATATGTATATTCATATTGACTAAAAGACTTATTTGCGATTATGAAACAAACAAATTCCATGGAAGCAAAGTTAAGCTTTTACCCTTGTAGAGGGTATTATAATGTTGTCATAAAATGTGTAACGCCTAGGAGACATTTTCAACACCATAAAATTTATATATACTCGATCAGTATCATAGTCCATAGCAGACCTCCGACACTATATCATATGGCTGCCATAGGAACTATTGGTCTAAATAAAAGTTCTATGAAACGGTTGTTTTTCAAGAAAAATTTTAGATTTAATCAGCTCCTTTTCTAAGAGCCTAATCATATCAAGATTGTATCACCTATGATACAGATTTATAGATCATTTTTTGTATGATATACTTTTCAGATGAGATATTTATATATACGATTTTTTCTAACCAAACTGGACAATTACGAACTACACTATTACAGACAGACGTGCAGACAGACAGACGGACAATGGTTATTAATATTTTTGTTTAAGGGCGTATTTTAAATAATATATAATAGGACATCCTTGAAGTTGACAAAACAATCAAAGGTAAAATAAATTTTCATTTGTTTTTGTAAAATAAACAAATAAAAACAACTAAGAGGTTATAGTCGGGAACTGAACCCTCGTCTTCCAACTTCAAATGCATATATATATTCTATTTTAGAAGCTATATGTCAAGTTTGGTGACTCTAGTTCTTATTATTTACCAAAATTGCCCAAATAAACAGGATATCGATATCGATATCGATTTTATCGATTGCTTGGAAACAGAGTAAGCTATCGATTATCGGAAACAAACTCGATCTGCGCGGGAACTGGAGCATCTACATCTAAAATTTCAAGTATCTAGCTCTTATAGGTTCTGAGATTCTTGCGTTCATACGGACGGACGGACGGACAGACAGACGGACATGGATAGATCGACTCAGCTATTTATGCTGATCAAGAATATATATACTTTATGGGGTCGGAGTTGCTTTCTTCTGCCTGTTACATACATTTGGCTTTCGCACAAATACAATATACCCTTATACCCATTTTTAATGGGTTCAGGGTATAAAAAGCCAAACTTCGTGAAAATCGGATGAGATTTGACCGAGTTATGGTGGTGGTAATTTTTGACCCATGTCTATATACGAATCTTGGGGTAAGATTTGGACATGAATTTCGACCAAAAAATCGGTGTCGAGATTTGAATGGCAGATTAATCTAGAGGGAAAACCATGAAGAAAAATCCAAGCTTCGTGAAAATCGGATGAGATTTGGCCGAGATATGGGGGTGGTAAATTTTGACCCATGTCTATATACGAATCTTGGGGTAAGATTTGGACATGAATTTCGACCAAAAAATCGGTATCGAGATTTGAATGCCACATTGCTCTAGAGGGAAAACCATGAAGAAAAATCCAAACTTCGTGAAAATCGGATGAGATTTGGCCGAAATATGGGGGTGGTAAATTTTGACCCATGTCTATATACGAATCTTGGGGTAAGATTTGGACATGAATTTCGACCAAAAAATCGGTGTAGGGATTTGAATGCCAGATTAATCTAGAGGGAAAACCATGAAGAAGAAGCCAAACTTCGTGCAAATCGGATGAGATTTGGCCCAGATATGGGGGTGGTAAATTTTGACCCATGTCTATATACGAATCTTGGGGTAAGATTTGGACATGGATTTCGACCAAAAAATCGGTGTCGAGATTTGAATGCCACATTAATCTAGAGGGAAAACCATGAAGAAAAATCCAAACTTCGTGAAAATCGGATGAGGTTTGGCCCAGATATGGGGGTGGTAAATTTTGACCCATGTCTATATACGAATCTTGGGGTAAGATTTGGACAAGAATTTCGACCAAAAAATCGGTGTCGAGATTTGAATGCCACATTAATCTAGAGGGAAAACCAGCCGAGATATGGGGGTGGTAAATTTTGACCCATGTCTATATACGAATCTTGGGGTAAGATTTGGACATGAATTTCGACTAAAAAATCGATGTTCAGATTTAAATGCCAGATTAATCTAGAGGTAAAACCATGAAGAAAAAGCCAAACTTCGTGAAAATCGGATGAGATTTGGCCGAGATATGGGGGTGGTAAATTTTGACCCATGTCTATATACGAATCTTGGGGTAAGATTTGGACATGAATTTCGACTAAAAAATCGGTGTTCAGATTTTAATGGCAGATTAATCTAGAGGGAAAACCATGAAGAAAACGCCAAACTTCGTCAAAATCGGATGAGATTTGGCCGAGATATGGGGGTGGTAATTTTTGACCCATGTCTATATACGAATCTTGGGGTAAGATTTGGACATGAATTTCGACCAAAAAATCGGTGTAGGGATTTGAATGCCAGATTAATCTAGAGGGAAAACCATGAAGAAAAATCCAAACTTCGTGAAAATCGGATGAGATTTGGCCGAGATATGGGGGTGGTAAATTTTGACCCATGTCTATATACGAATCTTGGGGTAAGATTTGGACATGAATTTCGACCAAAAAATCGATGTTCAGATTTAAATGCCAGATTAATCTAGAGGTAAAACCATGAAGAAAAATCCAAACTTCGTGAAAATCGGATGAGATTTGGCCGAGATATGGGGGTGGTAAATTTTGACCCATGTCTATATACGAATCTTGGGGTAAGATTTGGACATGAATTTCGACCAAAAAATTGGTGTAGGGATTTGAATGCCAGATTAATCTAGAGGGAAAACCATGAAGAAAAATCCAAACTTCGTGAAAATCGGATGAGATTTGGCCGAGATATGGGGGTGGTAAATTTTGACCCATGTCTATATACGAATCTTGGGGTAAGATTTGGACATGAATTTCGACTACAAAATCGATGTTCAGATTTAAATGCCAGATTAATCTAGAGGTAAAACCATGAAGAAAAATCCAAACTTCGTGAATATCGGATGAGATTTGGCCGAGATATGGGGGTGGTAAATTTTGACCCATGTCTATATACGAATCTTGGGGTAAGATTTGGACATGAATTTCGACCAAAAAATCGGTGTAGGGATTTGAATGCCAGATTAATCTAGAGGGAAAACCATGAAGAAAAATCCAAACTTCGTGAAAATCGGATGAGATTTGGCCGAGATATGGGGGTGGTAATTTTTAACCCATGTCTATATACGAATCTTGGGGTAAGATTTGGACATGAATTTCGACCAAAAAATCGGTGTAGGGATTAGAATGCCAGATTAATCTAGAGGGAAAACCATGAAGAAAAAGCCAAACTTCGTGAAAATCGGATGAGATTTGGCCCAGATATGGGGGTGGTAAATTTTGACCCATGTCTATATACGAATCTTGGGGTAAGATTTGGACATGAATTTCGACCAAAAAATCGGTGTAGGGATTTGAATGCCACATTAATCTAGAGGGAAAACCATGAAGAAAAATCCAAACTTCGTGAAAATCGGATGAGATTTGCCCGAGATATGGGGGTGGTAAATTTTGACCCATGTCTATATACGAATCTTGGGGTAAGATTTGGACATGAATTTCGACTAAAAAATCTATGTTCATATTTAAATGCCAGATTAATCTAGAGGTAAAACCATGAAGAAAAATCCAAACTTCGTGAAAATCGGATGAGATTTGCTCGAGATATGGGGGTGGTAAATTTTGACCCATGTCTTCGTGAAAATCGGATGAGATTTGGTCGAGATATGGGGGTGGTAATTTTTAACCCATGTCTATATACGAATCTTGGGGTAAGATTTGGACATGAATTTCGACCAAAAAATCGGTGTAGGGATTAGAATGCCAGATTAATCTAGAGGGAAAACCATGAAGAAAAAGCCAAACTTCGTGAAAATCGGATGAGATTTGGCCCAGATATGGGGGTGGTAAATTTTGACCCATGTCTATATACGAATCTTGGGGTAAGATTTGGACATGAATTTCGACCAAAAAATCGGTGTAGGGATTTGAATGCCACATTAATCTAGAGGGAAAACCATGAAGAAAAATCCAAACTTCGTGAAAATCGGATGAGATTTGCCCGAGATATGGGGGTGGTAAATTTTGACCCATGTCTATATACGAATCTTGGGGTAAGATTTGGACATGAATTTCGACCAAAAAATCGGTGTAGGGATTTGAATGCCAGATTAATCTAGAGGGAAAACCATGAAGAAGAAGCCAAACTTCGTGCAAATCGGATGAGATTTGGCCCAGATATGGGGGTGGTAAATTTTGACCCATGTCTATATACGAATCTTGGGGTAAGATTTGGACATGGATTTCGACTAAAAAATCGATGTTCATATTTAAATGCCAGATTAATCTAGAGGTAAAACCATGAAGAAAAATCCAAACTTCGTGAAAATCGGATGAGATTTGCTCGAGATATGGGGGTGGTAAATTTTGACCCATGTCTTCGTGAAAATCGGATGAGATTTGGTCGAGATATGGGGGTGGTAAATTTTGACCCATGTCTATATACGAATCTTGGGCTAAGATTTGAACATGAATTTCGACCAAAAAATCGGTGTAGGGATTTGAATGCCAGATTAATCTAGAGGGAAAACCATGAAGAAAAATCCAAACTTCGTGAAAATCGGATGAGATTTGGCCGAGATATGGGGGTGGTAAATTTTGACCCATGTCTATATACGAATCTTGGGCTAAGATTTGGACATGAATTTCGACCAAAAAATCGGTGTAGGGATTTGAATGCCAGATTAATCTAGAGGGAAAACCATGAAGAAAAATCCAAACTTCGTGAAAATCGGATGA